AAAAACTAGCACAGAATAAACTTTACATAACACATGTCTAAGAAAACTGAAGCCAGCCATAGCATCCTATCACTGTGCTCCTCTGGCTAAAACTACAATGAGGACCATACAAAGACCAAAGAAATATCCAGGTCAGGGTTTGGATATAGCTCAGCCAGCAAGTCCTTGCCAAGCATGCATCAAACCTTGATTCAGTCACTAGCACCACATAAAACTAAGCCCGAAGTTCAAGAAAAGAACCAGGGGAAGTGCTTAGTGAACTTGCCACCAAGCCTGAGGACCAGCGTTCTATCGCTGGAACCCACATGGAGTAGAACCACAATTCTCCAAATGTCCTCTAATTGTTTTATGGCACACACAATGCCAAAGCTAGAGAAATACTGGGGGAGGGGGGGAGATATTCACATTATTTAATAGAAAAAGATTATTCACATCAATATAAGAGGTGCTCTGCTAATGCAGAACAGTCAGCGAAAGGAAGGATAAAGTAAAGCATTTCCCCTCACTCTTCCTAAAATACTGAGTGCAAGAGAAGCTAATGACAGCTCAGCACAATCTGACGGGAGTCTGGACACCACATGCAGCAGCAAAGTCTGAGTCAAAGGGGGAAGCTGAGCACTGCACTGTGTGTAACTGCACAGGGTCAAGACTTTCTTTGTGGACAGAGAGCATTTCATCACTAACTATGCCAGTCCGTGGGCCTAGCCTAGGCCTCACTTATATTATAAGGACCAAGGAGCATTTCATTTCAGAACTATGGCACTCTATCTATCTACTATGTGCTATTTGTCAGGGATGACAGAATTAAATCCTCCTTGGACAAGATAAGGCACTCAGTTTCAACCTCTCTAGAAATTAGGTCAAGCTGAGGTCTACAAATAAGCAAAACAGATTTGAACAAAAATTGTCATCAAACGGCCTGGAGAGATGGCTCAGAGGTTAAGAGCACTGACTGTGCTTCCACAGGTCCCGAGTTCAATTCCCAGCAGCCAGACGGTGGCTCACAACTATCTATTAGAAATGAGATCTGGTGCCCTCTTCTGGCCTGCAGGGATACATGCAGGCAGAATGTTGTATACATAATAAATAAATCTTAAAAAAAAAAAATCATCAAACTAGGCTTGATGGCTCACACCAACACATAGGAGGCTGAGGCAGGTGGACTACCACAAGTGTGAGCTTTCTAGGTCAAATGCGGTGGCTCCACCTTTAACCCAGAACTCAAGAAGCTGGGGAAGGAAGATCACCACAAGTTCCAGGCCAGCCATGCCAGAGTTACTTGGGAAGACTATGTAGTACAGGCTGGGGGGGGGGGGGGTAGGGATGAGGAGCACTTCTTATTCATTCACATTTTGGTAAGGCAACAAAACAAAACAAAAGAAAACTTGGGCAGAAGGACTTGAGAATGTGGCTGAACTGGGCATGGTAATGGACACCTTGATCCCAGCATTCAGAGGCAGACCCAGGCAGACCTCTGGGAATCTGAGGCTAGCCCAATCTACATAGCAAACCAGGGCTACACAGTGAAACCCTGTCTCAAAAAAAATAAATACTATAGCTAGGAAGCAACATGTAATTAGCTGGCCAAGACTGGAGCAGTCCCCAGCATGGGAAGGGAAGAGTGAGGGACTTATGGAGTAAGGGAAAGCACAGCAACCCGATTTCACATCAGTCCTGTGTTCCTTGTGTGTGTGCTTATGGGACGCAGGGATGGAGGAATCTGGATGTCAGGGTTTTTCCCATCAGCCCCCACCTTTGTTTTGTTGAAACAGGGTCCTCTCGCTGAACACAGAAGCTTAAAGTTAAACATGTGCGGCCATGCCCACCTTTTTCATGTAGGTGCTAGGAATTTGAAGTCTGGTCCTCTTGTTTTCATAGTAAGTGCCCATGCCCAGAGCATCTCCCCAGCCTTGACTCTGATTTTAAGACAGGGCCTTGAGCTCACCCTGCCTCAGCCTTCCAGGTTGGGATTACAGGTGTATGCTGCCACACCTGACACTTAACTGTGTATAGGCACATACAGACCTTGTCCTGTGCTGAAAAGATGCCTAGGCAGTTAAGAGCACTGGCTGCTCTTTTGAGAACCTGGGTATGATTCTCAGCACCCATACGGCACTAACAACCACCTGAAACTCCAGTTCCAAAGAATCTGGTGACCTCTTCTGACCGACATCTGTCACCTCATTGATCGCCAGGGTTGACCTCAGAAAGCACTGTACACATGTGGTATACAGAGGTAAGAGCAGGCAAAACACTCATGCACATTTCAGGAGGGGTGGGTGGGAGGGGGAGACAGCGAGGCAGGCAGATCTCCGAGTTTGAGGCTAGCCTGTCCTATTGAGTGAGCTCCAGGGTGCCAGGGCTACACAGAGAAACCCTGATTTGGGGAAGGAATCAGGGACAACAACTGTCTTGTGTCCAAAGGCAAAGAGGTCTGACACAAAAGATGCTGCACCATTTCTGTTAAAACACAGGTCTCAGCCAGGTGTGGCAGCACACACCTTTAAAGCAGCAAGTCAGAACCAGCAGCAGGGAAAGCTCGCTCTGTGATCTCAAGGACAGCCTGGCCTACTTAGTAAGTTCAAGGACAGCTAGGGCTACAAAGTGACTCTCCTTTGATTTTACATTAAATGAAAACAAATGCTGGGAGGTAGTAGCACACACCTTTAATCCCAGCACTGGGGAGGCAGAGGCAGGCGGATCTCTGTGAGTTCCAGGCCAGCCTGGTCCACAGAGCAAGTTCCAAAACAGCCAGGGCAGATACACAGAGAAACTTGTCTTGAAAAATCAAATAGATAAATAGATAGACAAAACAAACAAAAACCCAAAGACACAACATGAACAATCACTTGGATTGACAAAAACAAGATTTGAAATAATTTCATTGCAGTTAAATTCCTTTCCAAACTTAATCAAACACAAAATAAGAAGTCTAGAAATATTAACTTGAATAATCAGTTGGCAACAAAACTATACATGAAAACATTTACAATGCTTTACTTCCTAGACTGGACCCTAGCAAATATATTCCCCATAAAAGTCCAAAGAGAAGCTGAGAATGTAGCTCAGTGACAGAGTGCTTGTCTAGCATGTATAAGGACCTGGGTTCAATCCCAGCACAACAAAAATAAATAAAACTAACCATCACATCCTGAGATATATAATATGTACAAGATCTAAAAAAAAAAAAATTAATAACCAAAAAGAGTTCAAAAACGCTTGAAGCAGGATGCTTTAAGTCCAATTTGGGCCACATAGCAAATCTCAAGCCAGCCAGGAGTATAAAGATACCCTGTGTCATAAAAGCAAAAATGCCCCAGAGGTCTAGAATCATTCTATCACTCTTGATGTTTCAAAGAAGAAGACTCCAACTCTAACGGCACCAGGCACCTTCATGACCTTTCCTCAGTCCTGACTATCAATCACTTAGATAAGCTTTCAAAATACGTAACAAAAATGTGTTGAAAAATGACCAGGTTTCCAGAAGGTCTGCTAAATTCAGAAGTATTTAAGAAGAATTCCTAAGAGAAACTTTGTGGCAAGCTTTATGTTCTATGTATTACTGCAGATAGACTTGACCTACAAAATAAGGGTAGGGTCAACTGTAACCAAAAAACAGCATGCTTCCCCTGGTGGCCAACCCAGGAATGGAGCCCTTGTACACAAGAGGGGGAAAAACTGGCTCTGTCCTGTCACTCACAAATCAGAAGTGAGTCCCAGAAAGAGATGTGGTGAAGGGGGAACCATCCAAATCACTAACCCGAATTTAAAAAGTAGAAGCCAGGGAGAGGGGCGTTAGACTGCATGGATGTAAGGGATTGGAGTCAAACTTGAAACTCATTTTATTCTCGGGGTGTCCAATCCCTCACCCGGAACCGTCTCTCATGTATTTTCACTTTTACCCAAACAGAGAGTTCAGAACCTTAATAACAACTTAAAAGCAATCTCCTTTCCCAAGGACCAGATCCTTGCAATTGTCACCAGTCTTGGTTCCAAGAAAAAGCGTTTATCTTTTCAAACTAGTGGTATAACCTACTTAGAGAAGCCTCCTGTTCTGAAGCCCTCCAACCAGGACGCTTCACTCTAGCTCTACAAGACTGTCTTTTGAATTTTATTTCTGAAACAAAACCCACGTCCTTTCAAACAGTTCCTGTAACATCCACCTTTAAAGACAGTCTCATACAGAGATGGGATAGATAGAATCGTGGGCATTAAAATCCAGCGAATTCCTTTGTCTGATAGGATTCCCCCCCCCCGTACCCCTTTAAATTTGCTTCCACACAGACCAGCAGCAAGGGCAGTAAAATGTCCCATTCTAGTAGATGGAAACGGTCGGTTAGCTAAGGCTTTTGATGGCTTCATTCTTTCACAGCCTCTTCCTCCCCACCCCACCCCACCCCCCAAAAGAAAAAGAAATAAAGGAAACACACACATTTACAAACAGATCCCAAAATAGCAGCCACAAGCGAGGCTCTCTTTCCTATCTAGGAGATGCTCTCTGGAAGCACACTTCTTTTATTACCTGATTGGGGTGGAGGGACGGGGGCATCGGTACTCCGCTGGCCATCAGGATGGGATGGGAGCGGAGTCAAGGGACGGCGAGAGCGCCGGGCTGGCAGAGTAGTAACACTGGGAGACGGTTCCGAGTAAGAAGTCTCTGCGGAGCCCTGAGTCCGAGCGCCCCGGGACGCCAACTCTCCGGCACTGCCACCCGGGATCCCGCCCTGGCCCCGGTGCACCTCACCTGGACGCAGGGACACCCGACCCCGGCTCGGCCAGGTGTGACCTCCAGAGCCCGGGGCACAGCGGGCGGGGACTGTCCCCAGCAGGGCCGCGGCCTCCCCGCACCCGGAGCTGCGGCACACTCGTGTGCGAGCGTGCGGCGCCGCCTGCCCTCGCGCCCCGTGTGCCCCCGCGGTCCGCAGGCCGACACGCACAAAAAAAAAAAAAAAAAAAAAAAAACCAAAGTTGTCGCCGGGCTCCCGGCGCTCGCTACTCACCGGGGTCGAAGTCGGGCACGGCCGCCTGGTACTGGGGTCCCACGCGCATGCCGCCGCCACCTGCGGGGAAGCAGAGCACGGCGGTCAGCGCGGGCGCGGGCGCGGGCCGGGCGCGGGGGCGGCTGCCACCTACCGTGCTCCTCGTCGCTGGACGAGCCCGAGCTGCCCTCCTCCCAGGAGTTGCTGCCGCTGTTCCCGTTGGGGGCCGCCGCCGCCAAACTTTTATTCTGCCCATTATTGGGGGCGGCGGCGGCCGCGGCGGCGGCGGCGGCCGAGGCGGAGGCGGTGCCGGCCGAGGCGGCGGCCGAGGCGGCGGCCGAGGCGGCCGAGGCGGCGGCCGAGGCGGCGGCGGCCGCCGTGTTCCTCCCTCGCCGCTTCCCTGAGACCTCGGGGCCCTTCTCCACCATGGCCGGCATCGGCGGGGCCCGGGGCCGGGCCAAAGTGACGGGGCCCCCGGCTGGCGAGGCGCGGGCGGCGGGCCGCGGGCAGGGGGCGCAGGTGGGCGCCGCGCCGGCCGGCCGGGCGGGCGCGCGGGATCCGCTGGCGCGAGTCGGGGCCGCAGGAGGCCCAGACGGCCGGAGTGACGAGCCGCCTCAAGCCCCCGACGCCGAACCGAGCGCAACTTTGGCTCTCATCGCCGCCCGCACTTCGCTGGCTCCAACTACTCCGGGAGCCGCGGGCGGGGGCAGGGGCGGGGCCTGGGCGGAGGAGGGCCGCGCGCAGCCTAACCCGGCGCCCGGAGGCCCCGCCTCCGCGCGCTCCCATTGGCTGCCGCGGGATCCGGGCGGCAGGCGGCCGCGCGGTAGGCCCGCGGGCGCGTCCGTCGGGCGGCGGGGGCGGGAGCACGGGGAGGGGGCCGGCTCGGCGCTTCCGTTGGCCGGGTTGGGTTGACGCGTATCGCCCACTGTACGTGGTTTGAGGTTTGCGATCGCTCTACGCCCCATGATCCATCTCTCGAGGCGACAGCGAGGAGTTAGCCGCCCTGCTGGCCCCCTCCCCCTCCCCGGCGCCCCGCTCCCTCCGCGCGCACCCCGTGGGCCCCGCGCCACCTCCCCCCGGGGACCCCGCCGAGCGCCCCATCGGCTTCCCAGAGTCAGTGTGCCCGACGCGAGAACAGAAACGGCGGGCAAGGTCGGGACTACTTTCCCCCTCGCGCGGAGGAGTACGCGCTCAGTTTGAATGGGCTCCATACAAAGAGGGGAAACTAATTGGAAGAAACTAATTGCGCCCCCGCGTCGCCCCGGGGGATCGGGGTGCACCAGGGCAGGGGAGCCTGGGGACGAGGCTCTCGGGTGGCAGTGTCCCCCGGGGGAAGGAAGGAAGGCGGGTGTGCCACGCTCCACGGCGCTCCCCGCTAATTGGGTTGGGGGCCACCGGGTCCCCGCATTGCCCGAGGGGCAGCGGGCGGAGTCGAAGCCGTCGGGCTGCGGGGAGGCGCCGAGCGGCCCCCGGGGCGGCGGCGGGACTTAGAGCGCGGGGGAAAGGAAGGGGCTGGGGTCCCCAGCTCGGCGCGGGAGGGTCCCTTCCCCCACCCCGCAGGGCCCAGGGCCTGAACGCGTAGGAGTCGGTGACACCCAGCCTCGGGCGTCCTTGTCCCCGGAGTGATCAGCGAGGGGCCGTCACTGCCTGACAGCTGCCTGTGGGGCTGGGTGGGCTGCCCCACCCCCCGCGCCATCAACCAGACCTGGAACTGTACGTGAAACCCTTTGCTTCAAAAGAAAAAGAAAAGACAAGGCAGGCGATGGCTATTTTCCGTTTAAGTTACTTCAGACCTGGGCTTCATATGGGGACAGTTTTTACACCCGCTCAAGATATAAATAGCTACAGGGAGAAAACGAGAGTTTTATGGTTTTAAAGCCCGAATAAATAAGCAGGGTTTCCTCTTCCACGTTTTCTGCAGCGCGAGTCATCATTTTAAACTTCGCTGAAGCGACCACGTCCACTTGTAAGCAGCCTTTTTAGAACAGGGCCCAGAGCCTCCCGGGAGCTGATCCCTGCCCCCACCTAGCCTTGCTCTTGGACTGCTCTCTGAAGGACACCCCTCTACTTAGAGAACCCGGGGCACTGCAGGCATGACCCCCAGGCATATCTGCAAGACCAGAGGTGGGAATCAGGGGTGACCTTCTGGGACAGGAACCGATGAAGCCATGAATCTTTGAGGCTAGAGACACTCTGACCTGCTCCTTCCCTGCCTTTCAAGATATACACAGACTGAGGCTAAGCTACAGGGCACAACGGTGATCTGAGTTACTTAGTAGGACAGGTGGAGTGACCCTACCCACTGGAACCCCAAGCTTGCAGCCACTTCCTAGAAAGTGGCTCTTCTTTCTGGGGTTAGGACCTATGGGAAGGGAACCACAGCCTCTAGGGCAGGCCTGGGGGGGGGGGGTAAGGCAAGCCGGGACCCCATGGCCCTCAGCTCTCGGTCACTATGTTGCTTCCAGGACACCTTGCCTGCCTCACCCCAGTCGAGGCCTTGATCCAGGGTGCCCCCCCCCAGCCACTGAAAGGGAGGATGGGCTTGGGAAGAAGGAACCTGAGGTTCACGATTTATTTGAACTCCCTTCTACTGCCTACCCCACCCTACCAGTCAGCCCTGAAATCTTGCTTGCTACATTGTAACTTTGGGTGTCTCAATGAACCTTCCAGTCGGTTATTTAGTTGCTTTCTTGGTTGGATGTTAATTTGAGACAGTTTGTCCTTTAACCCAGGCAAGTCTTGAACTCCCTAAATAGCTGAAGATGACATTCAAGCCCTGATCCCTCTGCACTGGGATTACAGTTGTATGTTGCCATGCCTGCCTTAATTTACAGTGTTTTTTTAAAGATATTATTATTTATGTATGTGTGTAGGAGAGAGAATGCCACTTATGGGTAGAGGTCACAGGAGGGTGTTGTGTCTCCTGGAGCTGGAGTTACAGAAGCTTGTGAACTACTTGTGAACTGCCCCACCCACCCGGGGCCTAAGAACCAAAGTCAAGTCATCTACAAGAGCAGGACATAATCCTAACCATAGGCCACTTCTCCAGCCCCATGGTTGGGCTTTTTTGTTTTGTTTTCTCCAGACAGGGTTTCCTCTGTGTAGTCCTGGCTGTCCTGGAACTCACTCTGTAGACCAGGCTGGCCTCGAACTCAGAGATCCACCTGCCTCTGCCTCCCAAGTTCTGGGGTTAAAGGTGTGCACGCCACCAACGGCTATGGTTGTTTTTTCAGACCAGGTCTCATACTGTTGTTAATGCTGGCCTCAGATTTACAGCAATCCTTCCCATTCCTCCACCACCAAGTGAGTGGCGTGATGACAAAAGCCACCATGCCTGCTTTGTATGTTTTTTTTTCAACAATATGCCTTCTGACATACACACACACACACACACACACACACACACACACACTGTTCTAGTTTGACCACAGTCACATGGATACCAACTAACTGGCCTGCCACATGCCTGCTTCCTCATTCATAAAAACCAGACAACAACAGTGGTTGGCTTTTTGGTTTTTGTTTATGTTTGTCTTTGATGGGGTCTCAGTATTAGCCCTGGCTGGCCTGGAACTCACTACGGAGACCACGCTGTCTTCGGCCTCAGTGCTGGTAGTAAAGGCATGAGTCACCATGACTGGCTTCCTGGTGGATGTTTATGCCACCTCGTCTCCTCCAGCCTTAGGTTCCCTCCCTCTGCCCTAAGGAGCCCTCGACCTGAATGAAGGAAACCCTCTTTCTCGTTGCTGTTGGGGTGGTGCCCACACATAACTCCATGATGGGGAATGTGCAACCACATATTAAAAATGCTACTCTAAGCTGGGCGGTGGTGGCACACACCTTTAATCCCAGCACTTGGGAGGCAGAGGCAGGCAAATTTCCATGAGTTTGAGGACAGCCTGGCCTACAGAGCAGATGCCAGGAGGGGCTCCAAAGGCACACAGAGAAACTCAGTCTCGAAAAACAAAGAAAAAATGCTACTCCGCACACTAGCCCTGTGTCAGTGTCCAAAACACCTTCAGCTCTATACTCTGCTTAGCTCTCCACAGGAACTCTTCCCAAGCTCCTAGGCCAAGATTCACCTTCTACCCTGAGAAAAGCTAAAGCCCTCAGGCGGGAGTGCTCCTTGAGTCCCCAAACTGACCCAAACCCCTGCCTTGCACACCCCCTCCTCAGACTCTCCCACCCTGTCTTCCCTGCACTGCCTTTCAGCCTCATTCCAGGCTAACCCTGAACCAGTATTTTCAAATGAGACCGCCGGCTTCCTAGGCCCTCTAACCTTGCCTATACTTGTCTACTCTCCTGGCCAACATACTCCTCAGAAGCTGTCTACACTTGCCTTCTCTGTTCCCTCCCACCACACTCCTCACCCCCCCCCCCCACCAAGGCTGCTGTCTCCGCCCCTCCCTCCCTCCCGCCCTGTACAATAGCCAATTACTGGTAGCACTGAGCCTTCCAGAAGCACTGGAGCAGATCATTATTCCCTGGACATCCTCACTCTCACTTTCTACCTCGTAGACCACTCCCCCCAGTCTCCTCTGCAGCTCCGCCCCTTCCTTCTGACCTATCATTGCCTGGGTTTCTGGGAGGTGCTTTCCTCTTCCCTGGGCCTACAGGACAGTAGGTTCTCCTTAGATGTTAAGGGAAGAGTAACATAGAGCACAAGCTACCCTGGGTACAGAGTGAAGCAAATTCCAGTGGAGGAAGGGGATCCCCTGGAACAAGCGAACTCCAACCGAGATGTCGGTTATATGGAGAAGACCTTACTATCAGTTTAACATTCTTCAAGGGCCCACTCCACCCGTCCCGTCCCCAAATCCTCTTCCGCCTGGTTGGCTCCTGGAGCCCAAAGTTCCTGACCTACATGTGAATCAGAATTGACATTAAAATGTTCCTGGTCCCCTGTCTATGAGTGATTGGCTTGGGCATAGGCATATGACACAGCCAGGACAGTCACCACCCTTTCTAGAACTTCTGTTAGAAGTCATCGTCCTAAAAAAAAAAAAAGTCATAGTCCTTTCTGAGGTCAGGACCTAAGAGGAGGATCCCAGAGCCTCTAGCACAGGCCTAGCTGAGCAAGGCAAGCCAGGGTTCCAGGGCCTTTAGGGTACCTAAGGCCCCTGCCTCCCTCCCTCACTACCCCATACCTCCATCACTCAAAATGGCGGGTAAGCTTAGGCAGAAGGAGACCCATCGGAAGTCTCCCTATTGCCTACTCCATGCCTATATCACAGGCATGGAACCCTAGCCTTTAAATGGATTGAATTAGATTTCTGTTACAACTCAAGAGTCCTAAATGATACAAATGACTGGGCAGACAGTCAGAAAGCCAGCCTTGTGCCGGGGAGTGATGGCACTGGTCTTTAATCCCAGCACTCGGGAGGCAGAGGCAGGAGGATCTCTGGGAGTTCCAGGCCACCCTGGTCTACAGAGCTAGTTCCAGGATAGTTAGGGCTGTTAGACAGGGAAACTGCCTCCAAAAACAAAAAACAAAACAAACAAAAGCTAGCCTCTCCTAAA